TTGTTTGTTTGTTTGTTTAACATACAGGAGGCCAAGACTCAAAACGAACAACACAAAGCAGAAATTCAGCTCCTACAAGACAGGTTACATCTGGAGACGGACGAGACATTTAGAAGGAAGAAGACTTTCCACATGGTCAGTTTTTAACAGAGTTATTTGGATTATGGAAAGTTTGTCTTGATAGTAAACGCGAGATTTAGTATCAAAGTTATTACATATTAGTGCATTGTGTTTACAGAATAACAAAGTTATAAGATTGAAACTTTTTAAAATGATAAACTACAGAGCAGTACTGCACGAAAATGGTAAAAACTTGTTTTAATCACTTATGCGTTTTGTCTGACAATAGCAGACTTCGTTTTAATAAGTGGGGAAAATAAGCTTACTTATATACCATGGTAAATACGATGTCTATTGCCGACCTTTAAACATAATGTGAAGGAAACAGAAAGTATCCGTATTGTGTGACAAAGGTGCTGAATAAGCGTGACATTTTTCGGACGGTACATGTAGTAAATCTGTGACCTCCAAACTGGCTTTTCGACATCCCCAGTGGAATTCATCATTACAGTGAAGCGAAGAGTTATTTGTCTATGGAATGTTGTGGTCAAATTAATAATTCTACCTTAATGGTATTAGCTCTATATTGATTTTGATTAGTAAATTTCGATCCGTCAGTAAAGTCAATTAGTTCAGTTTGGTCACTTGGTAGTGTCAATGACATGGATAAGTCGCTGTTGGAGCACTGATTACTGTTTACATCTGTTCAGATGAGTCTTTTCTAAGTTACTCCTTCAGTTACTTCATCGTAGAGCTTTGATAACTCAGTTTCCACCCTCAACAGTGTTAACACTACACATAGAGTGTTGGAACTACCCCTCGTCCTCAACTGACGAATTCACCATTCTTATACCTCTTCCTCTCATTTCTTCCTTTTTCTCCCAGGATTCCGTGAATGACGATGGTCCTCCAGTTCCTTCTCACAAACAGGTTTGTGTGGTTACCGTCTGCTAATGGTATTTATCTTCATCAAATTAAATAAAAAGTCTAGCGGCCGATGGGAGTTGGAATTAACACCGAACCAATGATGTAAACTCTGACATTAGACAGACAATCTCAGATGTTTTTGCTTTCGACGAAACGGATGCGACGTGATTTTTACCAGCACTGATTATCTCCATACGTTACAAATTTATACTTATTACATTATATATTTCATTAATAGCTGGCACGTTTGTCAGAGTTGGAGGAAATGGTGACAGAACAGGACAATGCCTTGGCCGTGGCGGCAGAGAAGTACAAGAAATCACGAAATGAGATCAGCAAAATGAAAAAGGATCATGAAGAGGAAGTAAACAGTCTCAAACAGCAGATGGCCAGGTAAAACACTAACATACATGTCAATTCAAGTACATGTTCCTTCTCGAACATGTGTCTAAGTTTACGGTCAGTTATTTCATTTATTGTTCGAGTTATTTTCACTCATAACAGCTACACCTTCAGTCTCCTTATTTCGTACTTGGCACTCCTGAAGCCACCAAGATGGCCAGGCTCTAATTGCTTTTTTCATAAGATCCAACCCGTGTGATGAAAGGGACAAAATTCGTATTCTTCACTAAATATACATGAACTGTCCCGTTTTTGTTTTTGTTTTTTTTACCAGGAAAAACGAGGATCATTCAAAAGAAATTACGAGACTTAACAACGAGAAACTAGAACGAGATGACAGAATAATGGAACAGAGTAAGGAGGTTAGTCTTGAAGCTACTTACCTAGCGAATCATTTGCCTAGGATTACTTCCTAACTCTTAAATCACCAGGCTTTTAAATACTGCTATCTTCATTTCCATAATCATTGCGCAGAAGCATTACACATCGACATATCTATCCTAACAGTATGTAGGAAGTTTGTCACCATGGACTGAATTAAATGGCCTGGCCTACCACGAGTCTCCTGTAGCTCAGAGGTAGAGCAACCGAAGTAATAATCGGAAGGTCGAATGCTATTGGGAACACTCGGATTTCTTTTTTCCGAGTATGTTCTTTGCACTATTTGTTGATTTTATCATTTTACGCGTAGATCGAGGTACTTAAGGATGAACTTGAGTTAGCAAAGGAAGCCTCCCAGCGTGCTCCTAGTAAAACCATGAAACATTTGGTGGAGAGACTTAGGAACCAGTTGGCATTGAAGGAAAAACAACAGAAGGTATTTATGCCGCCCTCATGATGCCCAATTGAATTCCATATCCTTTGCTTTTTCTTCATTGTCATATACGTGTTCTTTCCGTCCTGTTCCAACTTTTCATTTTTTATCTTGGTACAACAAACAAATCTGGTTCCTGTATGTAAAGCTTTCACAGATACACAGGTGTATATGTACTTACACAGAACTCATCACCGTGGCCGCAAATAAGTAAATATATCGACCTCCCCGCCTTTTCACTCAGTATACTTGATACTCTTTTATTTTACCGCTTGGTTCCCTGTTTAAATTATATTCACAACTACTGTTCGTTTACTTTTCCTTTCGTTCGAGTTTTCTGATACACCCTCTCTCGTAAGAACAATATATATATAATATATTCTTTATGCTTCCGTGCACTGACATGTGATAATGATCTTATTTTAAGTCCTTGAGTCAAGCTCTCCTGCAGCTCAGAGCTGACATGGTTACGACTGCAGAGGAAAATGTTCAGGTGAAGTAATTCCCATTAAATGTCTTCTTTCCTGTTTAGCGTAGTTTATGTAGGCTCTTGGTTAGAAGAGACGAGCGAAATAGCGCGCAGTCGACGCTTGACTGAAACTACAGCGTCAGACTGTCCCGCCATTTTTCGCTTGCTCGCATTTTTCGCTTGCTCGCATTTTTCGCATGTCACCGCTGACTAAGAGGCTGGCACAGACTGAAAAGTAAATGACTGTGGAATGTGGTAATTATCAAGACTATGTATTTCTCGCCAAGGACTCATAGCCCTTTTCTCTTAACAGCAATATAGTATGCAGTTTTGTTTTTTTTTTTTTACCATTTTAATTTTGTTTTCGTTTGGCTTAAGTCCGAAAAAAGGGGATGTTTCATTGTTAAACATTTCAAATTAATGATGCTGATGTCGAAAATACAAAATTCCTCAAGTAAAACTTTAGCTGCCGTCTTGGTCGATATGTTTGTCAGTGCAAGTCATTTGCACAAACCACAGACTATTCCACGTCCTTTTACCGGATACATATTTCACTTTTTTCTTTCTTCAGGCTCACGCTAAAAAGGCTGAGCAACAGGCCAATGTACAACATATTGTGGAGAAAGAAACTGCTGGTCTTCAGGTATGCTGTACAGACTGAATTTCTTTTTTTATAAAATATTATACGGTGCAATAATTTCATGGAAAAATACATCGATTAATCGTAAAATCTTCCTATGATGATTTTAAGGCACGTCTCGAAGAGCTCCAAGAGAGAATGGAAAAACTCAAGAAAGAGCTAAGGAAACAAAAGGAGAAGGAATCGAACTTTTTAGGGGAAAGGGACAAACTGAAGCAGGTATAAACAGAATTTCAGCGTGTTTCTCTCCCTAAATAGCTCTTACAGTTGAGGGTCAATGTCGTCTTGTGTTACTTTTTGTTATTGTTGGCAATTAGTTATGTGGGGAGTGTTTGCCTTGCTCATTGATTAACCAACCAACCGAATGACTGACTGGCTGACTTATTTTTTGGCTCTTGGTTAATGAGAACATGTAAAGGTCGCGTTTGGAACGTTAATAGACTAAACAACTTGAATGGATTTCCCCAAGCCACTGCCGACCTCACCGCTTTATGAGAGAACTTTCCCTGAAACGTTATCAGTGGGGAAATGAAAACAGTTCAATTGGTTAATCTATAACGCGCTTAAATTTGAATTTATGTGCAACTGAAAATTACTCGGCCGTAGCCTCTGAGGAATATGTCTGGTTTGTATGCAAATTGAGAGTCTGTTTTTGTAGTGTACAAATATTAATGTGTCCTAAATTTAGACATTTCTGTTCTGACCTTAAAATATTGCAGTTAGGTAAGTTAACGGAGTAATGGGGTCCTCAAGAACCGCACCGTTTGATAGATCATTTGTGCTGAAATGCGTTAGGCGCTTGTGGTAGGTTTTTTAGACAGCAAAATGTTTTTCAGGTTTCGCAAACAATGCTACAGTAGAATACCGCTAACTTGAACTCGGTTAACTCGAACTCCTCGGTAAATTGAACAAAATCCGATTTCCCTTGACCCATTTTTTCCGTCATTTACTATCAGCTTACTCGAACCCCCGCTAACTCAAACCGGGAATCGACTCTATAGAATTCGAGTTAGCGGGGTTCTACTGTCGTTTTAAAATTGTCACTATACTATCACCCATAAACAACAGTTTTGATGTATTGGATATTGTATTTTTAAGTACATTCTGGATGCCTAATCTAATTGCCCTCATTTAGGAACTTTCAAAAAAGGACTCTGCGCTGTTAAAGCTTGGGCGTGAACTGAAGGAGTTAGAGACTGTGCAAGAACAGTTGGAGAAAAAAGAGGAAGAATTGAGAACTGAGAGGAACACGGTCAGTGGCGACGATAGCTCTTAAAATACTTTGGTAGTAAATTGTAGCACCTTTCGTCACTTTTTTTACCTTGCCAGCAGGAATATTGCATTTACAGATTTTCATGGGGAATCGCAAGAGTTGAAAGCTTAAGTTTTATTCTAAAGGTACGTTTTTCCTTCCATAGCTTGCTCAGGAACGAGCTGAATGTGAAAAACTACGAGAGAGAGTGAAAAGCCTTCAAGAGAAAATAAAGCAGTTCAAACAGAAGAGCTCTGAGGACTCTGAAGGGGGAGCTGGTGACGATAAACCGATTGTTGAGGAAGTGATTAAGGAAGATAGGGTGAGAACGCAAGGATTGTTTGTTTGAAGCTTCCTCTAAGTTGCACTCCAAATTAAAACTCCTCTCACTACTAGTAGACTATTAGCTACTTCGTCAATATGCCGCTACTAAAAACTTTTTTATTTTTGTTTTCATTTTGAGATTGTTCTGTAGAGCTGGGATTAACTTGAGATAGTGTAAATTATAATACTGTTTCGGGAGTCTTTGATCAAGTTACCCCGATGTATTGCATGTTGTTTGCTCATTCTTATACGGTTTTGTTGCTTAGTGTAAAGCTTCACCCGTTTCGGTTACTGTTCGATCTCTACCATCTGGCAGATAGTGGAGATCTCAGGCTTGATTTAAAATGTCTTGCGTTTGACGTATAAGCAAAGAGCTTACTATCCATGGGTAGAACATCAATGCTAGGACCATTCTTGTTTACTCTTAATCGGCATGTGTTTCAGGCGGCAGTGGTCTCTGAAGGAGTTGCGCGATGGGAGGACAACAAGAAGTGGCAACAAAAAGTAGAAACACTTAAGGGAAAACTGGCGGAGAAAACACGAGAGCTGGAAAAAGCCGAAAAGACCATCGGTATGTTACGAGACGCAGTAAGCAGGGCTGAGAAGGACAAAGCAGGACTTCACAGTAGATTGAAAAGGTATGTCATGGTCCGTTGATATTTCATTTCTTCTAAACTGATATTGTACGCGCTCATTACTTATATTCATTGCAGTTCTGCCAAGTCTTCAACAGGTGGACAAGCTCTTGTCACTAACGAAGTTGTTCAGGATCTTAGACAGAATATTTTTAAGCTGGAAGAAGAGGTATCGTTCTTTTTTACATATTGTAATGACGATCAAATACACAGTTAAATGGTCCTACATGAATTAATTTCATATTTCCTGAAGTGTAAATACCATAAATGGGCAAAAGTCGTTGTTGAGTATGATTTCATTTCTGTTGTAAAAGGACCTGGAATCTCGTCACTTTATTTACCCATTTGTACGTATCTATGAGCGTTCAGCTAAGTTGTGAAAGACGCAGGGCTAAAGCACATTGGTGAAATTTTACTTCTATTCATCATTCGCTAATGCTCTCACTCACACATGCACTAACTCGTTCATTTTCTGTCTTTCATTCTTTCCTTCCTCTATTCATTCATTCATTTAGTCATTCATTCAGTGATTAATTCGTTCATTTATTTACTCAGTTCTCTGTTTACCTACTTATTTATTTCACAGAATCAGGAATTGAGACGTCAGAAAGTTCTGGGTCATGACAAACAAATGGAAGCACTTGAGCTTCGAAACAAACAACTAGTGGAGCATATTGAAGATTTAGAGAGAGACCTTGCTGGCAGAATGGCTGAGCGGGTAATTATAATTATTAGATAAGATGTATCATGATAAACCTAACTTCCTATATTCTAACCCAACGATGGTGATTTCATGTTTCCATCTAAAATATCGTTACAATTAGGTAAACCGTAGAACTGAGCTAATTGTAGTTAAGGCCTACAATAACAAAAAATGCAGTTAAGGAAATGAATGCAGTTTTGTCGTTCTTCGCTTAGTCGCTCTTCTCTTAGATATACCCATGGGTGGGTTGTAGACTCGTGGGCTGCACGATATCCATCACGCCTGCTTAACGTGGCGCTCGTTAGACCTCTTTCCTTTTAAGCTCTTAACAGCCAATTAACTTTATGCCTTTATTTTTCCTAACGACAGCGTACAGTGGATCATGCTGATGCTGATATGTATCGTGACATGTATCAGAGAAATCAGTCTCTTCAAAAACAGCTCTTAGAGGCAAAAGAGGTTAGTTAAGGATTATGATATCACACACAACAGTTTTAAAAAGGCTTTAGGAGAAATGTAAAAATTGCTTTGATGACATATAATATGTACCCGGCCAGAACTCATAAACACAGTAACATTCCTTTGCAGGAAAATATGGAATTAAGATTCGAGTATGAACAAGCTCGAAAGGAAAACCCTCGACTTAAGGTATCTAAATAGATATTTCGCTGTATAAATGTATGCTAACAGAGCTGGAAATTACAGTCGATCTTTGGAAATTGCCCGACCAAATTTTGAATATGTCCGGCCAATTGCACACTGTGATGGACACGATCTTCGAATATTTCATCAACACACTTTGACTTCTTCCCTTGAAGTTCTTGTTCATCCATCAAAGTTCTTCAAATAAATTGTTTGACCTATATTTAAAAAGTACTTAATGAAAGTGTCTTTCATTTCTTGTCCGATTTTAGACATTCAAATCGTATTTATCTACGATCTTTTTTTGTCAAGGCTCGTGTAGAAGATTTACAAGAGTATGTGGAAATTTTGAAAGCAGAACTTGAAGCAAGCAAAAAGAGGGAGAAAGCTCGCAAGGTAAAAAGTGTATTCTAACAAATCAAACGGCTACAGTAGAAGATAACAGCTTATTACTCCAGCAATGGTTACAGTGTACTTACCACTACTTTGATTTGACAGAAGAGTCTGGGCACTGGTATGGGTGGTCAGAGCGTAGAGGATCTGGAGAGAGTAATAGCAGCCATGAGACGAGTTGTGGAGAGACTTCAGGGAGAGAATGATCAGTTAAAGAAGACTGTTGGAGCAGGAGGCCCTCAGTATGGTGAAGTGTTAAAGGAAAATAAACGGCTCAAGGTAAACCACCTGTTTCAGTTTTAAGGTAGTTACAACGATAACAGGAAGGCAGTGAATAGTGCCAAAAAAAAACCTTTTTTGTCACATTTTTTGTCTGTTATGATTGTTGTTGTTTGGTTTTTATTGTTTTTGGTGCTGCTCTGTAAGGTACAAAGGGGTCATACATAGGATCGTCCTTGTTTATTTGATGACTAAAAAGGAAATGGAATGGAACAACTCTGTAAGCGGAGGTAGTTAGCTTTTTCTCCAACCAGTATCGAAATTTTCAGGAGCCTTTCTTTTTGGTCACTGTATTCCCCTTTTGTTGTTTTGGCCTTCCCATTAAGGACCCACCTATTGGAGGAAGGTAAATCCACTTTGTCGTTGGTATTTCTCTCTTTTCCACTCCCCAATCTCAACTTCACGCATGGTGCATAGACGCTCGAGCACCTTCTCAAGAGTATGGATATGTTTACACCCCATTAATTGTCCACTTTTCTTGCTCTACATCTTTACTTAAATGCATTTTTCTGTCTGCTATACCAGCATGAGTTGGAGAAGGCAAAAGTTAGCGAGAAGACCCAGTCCTCCCGTGGAGGTAGTAGTCAGGGAAATACAGCTAGACTGGTGACTGAGAACGAGAAACTACTTAAAGATTTAAAAAAGGTACATTGAAACTTGGTCATTGAGTTTGCAGAACAGTTCTCGCGAATGTCTAGTCCTTTGTTTGATTTGCTGTCCTTTTCCTCACAGGAAATGGAGAAGGTAGAAAAGTTAAAAACAGCAAACGCTAATCTGGAACAGAGAAAAGAAGAGCTTGTGAAAGAATTAGAACAGGTAACAAAACTTTGGGCTTGATTTATTGTGTGTTTGGGAAATTTCAATCCACTAAGAAGCGCATAGAATCACCTTGTTGCTACACTCAGGACAATATCGATAAAAACTAGTTTCCTTTTCTCACAACACGTATCTCTGTTTTTCCTTACCATTTGCCATTGGTGTGATATGAAAATCTATTTTGGAATACGTTCTGTATCATTAGTTACATCAAAGACTTTCCGCCTCAAACATGGATGGACTTGATAGTAAAGAATGGAAATCAGTCGTTTTACCAAAGATATACGAAGAGAAGATGCAAAAACTAGAGGCAGAACTGGAGAAAAAGGTAAGCCTGTCCTCAAATGTGCCTAGAAGCTTCCTGAGGTATTGATATACAGCTATATTTTGAACATCTTTGTCCTAACATCCGATCAGTAATTCGCCAATCTACCTGCTACATTTTTCCTTTTAAATCAGTCGAGAGACGTTGTTTATTATATCCAGTTATCCAAAAAACGCTCTCAATCCCAAGTTTGTCTATTCTCATCTCCTTTTCGGTGGATAATGGAGTGGCCCTATCTGTGAATGTTGATTCCTCTGTGGGTATCATTTTGCCCTCCACCTCCCCACCCATCTCTTGCCTGAATAGCACTGATAAGGTAAGTGGAGAGAAAGGCAGAGAGGAAGGGAAATGACAAGGTTTTTCAGAACACCTGACCATGTTTATTTTCCTCAGACAAATCTGTTGAAAGATATCAAGACGTACTTGAAAGCAGCTGCAAACAGAGAAACTGAGTTAATGAAGAAACAGCAAGAACTTGAGGAAAAGGTTTGTTATTAATTTTGTGTCGATAGAACACTCATTAAAAGAGACTCGGATGTGTAGGTTGGTGCAGACCCCCAGTGGTTATCTTTTGGAACACCAAAATGACTAGAGGCAGATGTTACGAAAGCGGACAGTATGTATGTAGGGGTTTTGTAGGGGTTTTGTTAAAAGAACCTGAGCTAGTTTCACTAGTGTTCGCTCATTATGCCCGTTTCTCGATATAAATGTAGGTGCTATTTAAGTAATAGCCGTGATGCTATGTACCATAGTTTAAACAACTGATCCTGACTCTGCTAATTTTACCTGTGTTTGGTTTTCATTTTATTGGGAACATTAATTCCTTTTTTTTTTGTAGGTTACAATTTTGGAGCGGTTTCCCGCAAATATAAAAGGTGACAGTGATCTGGTCAAAGAACTTCAACAGACAAGGTAACGTTACGTTTTATCTTTCTGGAAACTTTGAAAAAAAATTGGAATGATTGCAGCTCAGACTACGCATTGGTGGAGTTTGTTTTGCAGAAATCGTACCTAGCATTTTGTAGACGGGTAACTAGCCTCTGTTACCATGCTATACCACGCGTGAAGCCTTAGGCTGCCTATTTATTGTTGTTCTTATCGTTTTCTCTCTCGTCGCCTTGGTCGTTATTGTCATTGTGACTGCTTGTTCTGAAAATTATCCTGTAAAAATTTAATTTTACTTGTTAGATCGTTTATTTAGTCGTTGTTGTCTAGGTTGCGGTTGGCATCTCTCGAGTCAGAGAAAGAAGAAATTTTACACGAGGTACGGCAACTCAGAAAGATGGGACAGGCAGGTGATCTACCACGTGACTTGGTAAGTTGTGTCTTCTTGGTAGTTTAAGAAACTTTACTATTAGATTTTCCATGTAGAAGGATTTTCTCTCGGGTTGTCGATCGTTGGAAGCAACTTACCGAAAGTAACTATGACTTCAGTTATTGAAAGAACGGTTTAACTAAGAATGATATAAATCCATGTGGGTGACTGACACCAGCACAGCCTGTTCGCTTTAAAAAGGACTTAGTTGCTCTGAGCGTTGATTTTGAAGGTCAGTAAGTAGTCTAAAAGATGGGTACTTTACACGACCAGTGTACTGTTTCTTAAAACGTGGCATTCTTCTCTTGACGTTCTAGGATAATGAAGAAGTTCTAGAGAAATTACGAAACTACGACAGAATGATGGCCGAGGACGTGGAACTGAGGTAACTATTTGAGATTTTTCTTCAACACATTTTCCTAAATGTCAAATTAAGGATATACAACTTAACAAATCTTTTTGCTACTGTAGCAGTTTTCGTATCAAATACATTAACAGTGATAACTTTCTGATTTCTTTGTAGAACGAGATTGAAAACTGTAGAGTTGGAGCGCGATCGAACGTCGCATGAAGTCTCCAAGGTTTGTCTGAGGCAGTTAATTTGTATCTACTCAACCTACACGAGATAGATAGGACGAGGCATTTACCCTGTGCCATAGTATATTGAGTCTTGTCACCTTGAAAGGTTGGGTTCTCAATTGTCGGAGCTTTGAAAATCAGATTTGTGCCATCGTCGTTTAGGAAAAGTGGGGTGTGTCGAACCATTTATCGATTGGACTTTGAAGTTTTCAACTTCTAGCGCTATTTTAATTTCATGGCGAAAAGCTAGTGCGCGCCTATGCATTCTAAATTGAATAGAACCTCAAAATGCAGTTCTCCTTAACCGCCTAATTAGCACATTTCCGAATACACATTATTCTTGTTCCGAAATGGATTCTTTTTTCTCATTCTTTCATACCAAAGTTACATTCATTCACATCCAAAATGATCTCGTCTCGACGAATTGTTTTACCCCAGTCTTGCTTTGATAGAGAGGGTTCAAGGTAACTCGCAGGTGGAATATTCGAGACATCCATGATTATTTTCTTTGTTCCCGATTTCCCCCAAGTTGGAGTTTTAATTAAAGGTCTGGGTCATAGTTATTTGTTAGGCGCATCGGGAGAATCATGTATTTTGATACAAATATGTATAAGTGGTTAACTATATCACTTTTTTCAGCTACGAAAAGAACTCGAGGCCTTTGATCCCGCTTTTTTCGAAGAGATCGAAGACTTGAAGTACAATTACCAAAAGGCTGTTGAAAGGAACGTGTTGTACGAGCGACAGTTAAGGCAGATGTCTCGACAGTTTGGAGTTGATGTGAACATTCCTACGGAGGATTAAATTTTTGTGAGCCAGATTCTCCACAGGAAGCAGCGAAAGTTCTACTGCCAAAAATACGTTGGCAAATTTCTCAACACTTTCCTAACGAGGGACCTTGCCAAAGACGCGCCCATTTTGCAAAGGCCTTCAGCTGAGATTTTCGTGGGCATAGAAATATGCGCCCAAAAGTGCCGCCGCAGTTTTTAATTGAGAAGGCTTGTGAAGAAAAGAATTGCTTTCCCAGAAAAGATTTTGAGAAAAGTGTGTTAAAAATGCCATCGAGACGCTGAATTTCTATAGACTTACTGATATCGTGTCAGTCAAAGGAATTCATTGGAACGGACGTGTTCACGATTGAAACGTAAGCTGTGGAAACACGTCTTCTTGGCAGAATTAATATTGTTCAGCAATTGTTTGAGGAATGAAATCGAAAAAAAGGGATATACGAACGTATTTTAAGCGGTTTAGAATATTTATAACTAATTTATTTTTAGAGATAATATTTTTATTGTATAAAAGTCTGGAATTGTGATAATTTTTTTTACAAGAATATAGTAATTGAACATTTGTTGAGTTCTTAGTCCCCTTAGCTTTGTCTTTATTATTTCCTTTTCGTGTCTTGCCGTCTTTCTCTTGAGTTCCCTGTTACCTTTCGTCTTCTTCGGACATCTCGTGTCCCTTTGTTTTAATTGTGAATCATCATGTATTCACTTTCCCTTTCCTTCGTCTTAGACATCTCAGTTTTGTTTTATGTGGAGCGTTTTCCGTCATGTTCCCCACTACCTATCGGCTTCCTTTACTTGTCTCGAGTGAGAAGGAAGCGCAGATGGGATCGTTTGTTTCCAGGTTATTTGTTCCCTTCTTTTTCTGAGATTTTTTTCTGATCTATTGGCTTTCACGTTTTCTCTTGACCATTTTGTTACTCATTTCCCTACGTAATCACATTTTCGTTCTCATTGAGAATAAAACTAAACGAACACTCACAATGTGTCGATATTATTTGATCAACATTATTTTCTGGCTGGATGTTCGATTCGTTTGTGACGAGTGAGGCCCAAGAAGGCCATGCAAAGAAGACTCGAGGAGCCAAACTGAACCCTCTGTATGAAACTCACTTGCTCAGATGATTATAGAGGTGCACACGTTCTGACTGGTCAAATGTACGTTGCATGTCTAGTGCGATATCGAGAACTAAGAACTGAATGTCTTTAATGAAGAAACATGTAAGACGAAAGGAATGCAGTTTCTCGGATAATCACCTTAGCACTTATACGAGAAAAATAATCCTTATCAATCTCAGCGATTGATATCGAGTAGTCCTGGTGACTTTGTCTCAAAAATGATCATGTCTACAATATTCATTGTCATCAAACATCATCCGACGTCGTCACAGGTAATAGATAGGGTAGATAGTTGTACCTACTGTAGACAGTGTAAATAGCTGTACCTAATATAGGCAGTGTGGATAGTTTTACTTACTGTAGACAGTGTAGATAGCTCTACCTACTGTACACTGTGTAGATAGTTATACCTCCTGTAGACAGTGTAGATAGCTGTACCTATTGCACTCTGTAGATAGTTGTACCTACCGTAGACAGTGTAGATAGTTTTACCTACTGTAGACAGTGTGGATAGTTGTACTTACTGTAGACAATGTAGATAGTTGTACCTATTCTGGACAGTGTAAATAGTTGTACCTACTGTAGACAGTGTAGATAGCTGTACCTACTGTAGACAGTGTAGATAGATGTCCCTACTGTAGACAGTATAAATAATTGTACCTACAGTAGACAGTGTAGATAGCTGTACTTACCATAGACAGTGTAGATAACTGTAACTACTGTAGACAGTGTAGATAGTTGTACCTACTATACACAGTGTAGATAGCTGTGCCTACTGTAGACAGTTTAAATAGTTGTACCCGCTGTAGGTAGTGTAGATAGTTGTACTTACTGTGGAAAGTTGTAGCTACTGTTACACAATGATACGTCTTACATAAAGCTTCCACAAAATGGCTATATGATGACAGAAAAATACAGCCTACACGAAGGATTTTTACAAAGTGACTGTGTGTTGTTCTGCTATGCAGCATACACCTTGAAAACGATGGATGCAAACTGTGCGTTCTGTTCCCCAGACAGGTGTATAAACAACAGCTTAAGTAACAGTTGCCTTTCAATACATTTTGGCTCTTGTTTGACGGTATTTGGGTCGGAAAAGGGCGTCACAGTGGATGAAAAACTGAGATGGAGACCTCCTGTGACGGTCTGTTCACCTACACGCTAGAGGTAAGGAACAAACATGATCGTAATTAAAATAACCTTTCTCTGAGCACAATAATCTTGAATTCGAAGCTATAAGATTTTGAGTCTCTTATCTTTAAAAACTAAGCTGCATATTAGTGACTGGGTACAAACGTCGGACTGAGAACAGCCGTGTAAATCGATCCTATATGTAAACAGTATTTTTTCCACAATTTGTTACATTTTATTTTAACTTGCGTATTGTCGCCCAATCACCTCCCTGAGGTAGTCTATCGCGGATCTTTTTGGCCTATTCCTTAGTGGTAAAGATAAGCTCTTTTCAGGCCTCAGTCCGACATGAGATGAGGCCTGGAAAGAGCTTGATATTTGTTTATCAATTGAAATAGCGACTGACGCAGAAATTGTGCGATGCACTTATCACAAATAGACTGGACTTTCTGACATAATGTGATTCTAATCTATTTGTATTTATATGATAAGTTGAATTTTACACACATTTTGACTGGTTCTTATCTATGTTCTATTTGAGGATAGATGCAAAGATGACACTGCAACCAACAAAAATTTGCTTTTTTAAGATATAAAACAATTATATTGCCATTCGTCTGTTCTGTCATAGATCACAGGAGATGTTAAAATGTATAAGGAACAAGTGGCTGGGCCTTGTGTGCTACTCTTTTGCTCTTACCACATTTTGACATCATCTTTGATCTTTTACTGAACAGACACTAGTGTCCAATAGCAAAATTGGACAGAAGTGTCAAAAATAAAAAGTTGGGCTCTAGTGTCCAAAATAAAAAATTGGTTAGTATTGTGTGAAATTAAAAATTAGACACAAGTGTCTAAAATCTTAAATTAGACGTTTGTGTCCAAAATCAACAATTGCACTCTAGCATCTCAGTGTCTAAAATAAAAATTGGACACTAGTATCTAAAAAATTGCCATTTTGACTCTTGTAGCATTACAGCAAGAACTGTAATGAAAGCAGTTTGCTCATTCAAAGTTTCCTCGATAAGCTGCTTAAATCTATGTAATTTTTGTTAGAAGAGAAAGTTTTATCTTTTTAGTTTTTATTTTGAGCACGTGGCACAGACAAGAAGCAATGGGAAAATAAGTTTGAATGAATTGACAATTGCAAGCAAACACTGAGAAAATTATATATTGGATTAGGCATACAATGATAGATGTCTTAAAAGAAATTAGTGGTGCTGTGTTATTTGATGAGCAAATCTTGATGAAATTTGTTGGTAAGCAAAAACTGTGTAAAGTTAAGACCACAGGGGTAAAAAAACAAACACAACCATAAGAAACAATTGACAGATATCTGGTGCAGTTTAACCAACCGTTTTTACTGCAAATACAATGCCCATTGAAATAAACAAGGACAAAACAATCATTTAGCTCAAACGTTATCTCAGTAGTAGTAGTAGACACCTCAGAGTAGACAGGTATGGTTTGGCTGCCAAAACTAGTCTGTGTCTGGTCTGAGATTTGTTCTATACAAATTTGATGTGCATGATTTGGTCCCCTTATCTTTGAGGTGCACTGTAGTTGACTCTGGTGCAGTTAAGTGGTTTGATGAAATTTTCTACATCACTAGTTACACTATTTTGGATGATTTTGAAATATTTGTCATCTTGCAGTAGACAAAGCTGTAAAACATTTGCACATATTAGGACTTTGGTGGGCTCACATTTGAAGCAATAACGACACTATATGTAGTCTCATAGAATTTGTGAAAAATTTAAAAGCAGCATGGTTGTTCCTTAAGCAAAGAGGTTAAGCTTATAACTTATGCTACAGTCTGTTCTTCAACAGGGGTGCAAAATATATTTTTCACACAATAGTTAGGTATCCTCGCACACTTGCTGAAATTTAGCTACAAACTGATGTATTTCAATCAGGAAATGCATTTTGTGTAGGTTGCACAAAATTAATGTAATGTACTGCTATATTGATTGATTTATTCTGTGCAAATGTTATTCGGCTCTGTCCTGGTAGTATCACTGCCAAATACCACTACTAGTCATGCTGTTAACTAAAAAATTTCAATGTCTTGCCTTTTTTTCACCAATATTGTTATTTTGTCTTCCAAGTATACTTTTACTTCTAAGGGTATTAAGAAGTTCAGATAAAATAAATAGAAGGGGCCATTTTCATATTATGATGAAAAAGTGGTACACTGTGTATAAATTGTCAACAGTCAGAAGGATTGCCACTCCAAGAATATTTTTTATTTTACAGGCAGGTACATAGGGAAGAATAAAGACAAGCCTCTAACAATGAGAATTTTGGATAAGATTTGGTAAGTGATCAAAGCTGTGTTTGGATGATAGTTACCTCTGGATAACCACCATATTGAGTAGATTTTTAGACTGGAGATTTATCAGTAACTGGGAAAAAGAAAAATTGGTGATTGCTCAACAGTTTGATTTCATTTTTACACGTAAAAGTGAAGAACACCCTTTCTTGCACAAAGGGATGCCTTTCAACAGTAAAGTGTTGGAATGTTGAGCTGCTAGCTTCAGCTTTTTACTACTTACCACATTTTACAACGTAGCACTAGCAAAATACATTTTCCCCACATCCTCTCCCACAGCATCATTTGAATATTGATTGAGTAGCCCATGGAATGTGTGATTCCGTAATGATTATGTTTACTCTCATTAAATATTAAATTAACTTTTAACTGTTTCAGTATGTTCATATGTAGAGCTTTGACCTTGAGGTGACTGTGTGGCTGAAAGCTCCTTGAGTTACAGTTTGTTGCTGAACAAATTACCTCCTTACATTTCCTTGACAGTCTAAGCTCCTCACGGTTAGTTGGTCGAGTGATGTTTTTTCGAAATGTAACAGCCTCTGCATTTGGGTCAACTTATTTAATCTGTGAAGTGACAAAGGTGGACTACTTTGAACTCATCTAGGTTTAAGAGTTCATTTGTCTTCACCACAATAGATGTAATGACTGACAGACTGACTGGCAGACTGACTGTCTGATTGACAGACTGACTGACTGTCTGACAGACTGACTGACTGGTAAATTGGCTGGTTGGCTGGCTGGATGACCAACTGACTGACTGGCTGCCCTGTCTGCCCAGTTGACAGACTGACTGACTGACTGACTGGGTGACTGACTGGCTGACTGACTGGCTGACTGGCTGACTGACTGGCTGACTGATTGGCTGACTGGCTGACCGACTGACTGACTGATTGACTGACTGACTGACTAACTAATTGCTGACTGGCTGACTGGCTGACTGATTGGCTGACTGACTGAGTGACTGACTGACTGACAGGCTAGGTGGCAGGCTGGTTGACTGATCAACTGAATTTATAACATAGTGAGTTACTGAAAGAGTAACAAATTGACTTATTCAGAAATGTTGAATGATTACAGACCGAACCTACCTGTACATGCACTAGGGTTTTAAATTGATTTATTGCCTTTCCATTTGCCTATTTCTGTCTCAAAGGATCAACATTGTTTTCACTTTTGGGGTGGTCTGTGAAACTGAAAAGGGCAATCATTGATAAGAAAAAATGTGCATGCCTCTTTCAATTTAAAGGAAAATGCGTACCACTGTATCACTTGATTCAGATGCACCACCTGAATACTGCTTCATTTGGGTTGTTGTGAAAGTAAATTGTCGAAACTTGGCAACTGTCTCCTTTTTCTCTCTCTCTACGTGTTTTTGTTCAAGGGCTGACTATAGCAGTATTTCAAGCATTCAGCAGTATTTCAAGCATTCAGCAGTATTTCAAGCATTCAGCAAATAAAGCAGCTTATTTCGAAGGCGAGAAAACGCGTAGGAATGCTCGGCAGGCTTCGTAGAAGCGTCATTAGAGAGAGTGCAAATATAGTTTATTGTAGTCTAATTAGGACAATATTAGAATACTGTGTAAGTGTGAGGGGCTACTGCGGGGAAGGTCACAAACATGGCCTTGAAGCTCTCAAAAACCGGGCTGCCAGAATAGTTGCAAGAACTGTGCGCAGCAACCCGGCAATGGACGTTTTGAAATGGCCCACGCTGGAGGAGCGCCGTCGTAAAACTGTTTTTAAACTCGTTAAGAAATGCCTGCAAGGTCAATGTCCCCAATATTTTAAAGAATATTTTAAACGTAATAATACAATTTACGCCCGCGCCACTAGACGAAGCAACCTTTTACATCCACCTGCTGTGAGGACTGAGATCGCAAAACGATCTTTCTGTTACTATGGGTGCACTCTTTTTAACGAACTATCTTGATGGTATTGCGTATTTATTTACTTCTAAATTTTTTATTTGTACATAGTTTTCTATCTATAATGCTATCAGTATCAGTGTAATGCATATGTATACCATAGTTTTAGTACATTGTTGTGCTCAGGGCTCCCATTGATAACAGACAGCTTTTTGCATCTGAAGGGGCTACCCTGAGCGGTATAAGTCAATAAAGGTTCTTCTTCTTCTTCTTCTTCTAGTAGTTTCACACTTTATTACAAGTCTTAAAATCAAATAAAAATAAGCCCAATAACTCAAACTGTATCCAAACTGTTTCTGTTTTCAGGTCCTTCTGACGCAAACAAAGGAAGCCACGCCTCAAGTCACATTAAGACTACAACTTCACATAACAAGGTCGCATATTTCTTTCAAGTGCAAGTCACAAACAGGTATTTTAATAGTATTATTACAGTGCCACTTAAAAGTGGCACTGTATGTTCTCACTTGAGTTTGATTCTGTGTATTTAATCTCATCTTCGCACATTTCTATACAAAAAAAAAAACGAGATGTGGCCTTTAGTACGCGAGATTTATTCTAACACTATCGGCTCTACCGAGTGAATTTGGGGGGGAGGGGGGTGGTTAGGAGTCGTGTACGTTAGACAGGTTATCATTCAATTAACCCTCAAAACGTAGATGGATTACTGTAAGGAATCTAGAATATAGGAAGTCAAATCAGAGTATATGGGGCTAAATGAAACGATCGAGAACAGTTTGAAAACGCGTGCATTTAAGTAAAAAATGTTTTCCAGTAAAACGAATTGTCATACAGTTGTTAGAATATAGTTCGTTACTATAGGCAACAAGGACGTGGCCAATGAAAAACTTTTAGTGAGCGCATCAATTGCTCAACACGTGCTAATAAAATTGTATACATTTCTTAGCTGTCCTCTGCAAAACAACAACGTTAAGTCGCCAAAATTTACGTAACTAAATCTACCCTTTAGCGAAATTCTGAAGAACACATAAATTCTTTTTTACATGATCATGTATCATACAAATTCCATGCAAAAATTAAATTCCATGCTACCCGAGGGATTGAAGTGTTATCCAAATTCTCAAATGCAATGACAGCACTTGGTCTGTTGTTTTTCTATGTCCTCAGTTTTCTTGTCATTGCTTTTTCCTTTCTGTTATGCTGATAGACTTTTACTGTCCTCTCTTGTAGTTAATGTTGTTGATAATTTGCTGCCATTTTATTTCTATGAAATACGATGATTGGGTAAATAATGACACAGAGAAAAAGCTCATTGCATTCTACGTTGTAATTTTAATTTTCTCTTGACAGCTTATTTATTCATCAATGATTTTCAATTTACTTCAGATTGACAAGAAGAAAAGCAAGAGTCCAGAGAAAAATGTCAACCTTGAGAAAACACAAGTTAAGGTCGATACGCCGTCTTCCCCGTCCACACACTCCATCGGACAAGAAGTTAAAGCTGTGTACCTTGTGGTAACAACAGCTTGTAATACGCATGTGTATTAAGACAGACATTTGGTTTGACAAAACTTATGCCTTTTAAATAAATGTTTGTACCACAAGGTAGACATCTTTTGGAAACAATTAAACAAAAGGTTTTGTCGGAGGTGGGCGCGGCGGGGGAGGTCGGATGGGTGAAAAAAGAGTATATCAATATTCTGTAATATTACTACAATTACTGTAATATTACTGTATTCTAAGATTTCAAGAAAAAGATTGTAATATTCCTATAGTAACATCTATTAAAATTTCTATTGTAACACTGTACTGTAGTGTTTTAAAAGATGTTTGAACCACAGGGTAGATGACCTCTATTAAGAGTTACAAAAACTGACTAAAAGTGGTAAGTTTGGGAGGGGTGGTGGACGGGGAACCGCTTTTGGTTTCTTCCCAAGCTAGATAACTGATACTAAGTGTCTCATCGAGGCGGATTTGGTGGGGGATGGTGGACGGATCGACCCCCAATTTGTTATTTTATTCTCTGAATTGGGGGGTCGATCCAATTGTTTTCTTTCCAAGACTGATATTTGTCTCTAGTCTCGTGCTTTAAGGTGATCGCGTTCCTCGGTATCCAGCTTTGGGTGGTCGAAGAAACCTGCATAACAGGGAAATGAAATTAAGACCAAGAATTTAAGCCATAAAAACGTTACCGAAAAACGAACTTTTCTCCCCAAAAGACTTAGACGAACCTCCACAAGCATCTGTTCAACTATGCCACAAATATTGTACTCGTACACTTGAAAAATTTTTAAATTCAGAACATAAAATGAATCCGTATGCGTCCTAAATAAGCCTTCATAACAAGAACGACACAAATTTTCCCTGTCAAAAGACCATGAAAAATTACCACAAACGTTGTACAAGTTTTCGTTCAAGTGAACTACAAAGCTACACTCACCAGAATGAAAAGTATTCCCGTCTTTCTTCACCCTCTCTTTGGGGTTGCTGTAAGAGGAAAGGTAGGCGATAATTATTTACCTACAAACTGGCAGTCTTAATAATTTACTGATCCAGAATTGACTGTTCACAGTCAACTCTGGACCATCATAATAGAATTACAACAGTTCTCGTTCAACTACGCCACAACGATTATCTGAAGTAAAATCTTTACCTAATTCTTTTTTTCCTGCATCTAACAGATCAGGGAAACGAAAAACACTTAAAAACTTCTAGTTCTGGTTAAATATCTTTTTTTCACCCTTGAACGACACAGTCAATTCTGGAAAATAAAGAAATATTTTGGCAGTTCTAAAAGTTTATTCATTTTAATTATTTTTTCAAATAATCCGAAATATTGAAGATACAACTAAAAGATCGAAAAATTTAGAGTTGAAAATTAAAACTATTTTCAGATCAAACCTGAAGAATTGACATAAAAAGCTTTGGTGCATTTCGTATTAAGTCGATCGAAAGACCAAATAACTACCTGCCGTTTTTAGGAGACAAAACTGCCTCGAGTACGAAAAAAAAGGAGATAAAAAGCCCGATCTTCCCAAGGCATCTTATCCATCAAAAACATACTTTCAGAGGCGAAAGACGGCTGCTATCTTGAATCAAATCATATGCCCCGTTTTGGTTATGTTGAAAGTAGAAAAAAAAATAGGCGCCGAATGGTATATTACAATTTAACCTACACGATTTTTGTTGGAAACCTGTTTTGGTCTTCTCGTACAAATCAAAGGCATTTCTGTGCCCCACAGAAACAAGATTCAAAATACCATGACGATTTATATATTAATAAATACCATCCATTAATGAAAAAAAGTTGAAAAAACCTTATGGGAAGTACCCCGTTGTCTTTTGTTAGAGGAATGAATTAAGCATTAAGTGCAATGATTGAGGAGGTATTTTATTCTTGTAATGAAAATTACGACAAGCTTCAATGGAATATGAAGACATGCAATCAAAAAATCAAATCTCTGCTGATCATTGACCAACCTACAATTCACCTTGGTTCTATCTATTACTCTTTATCTACTCCAAGAGACACAATGGGTGATTCTAAAAACTCATCGCATACCAGATATCCGATAATTGATCCGCCTGAGTTCTGCTTCCAGTATTTTTCACATTCATCGATACGCAATGTTGCCTATGCCGCAATGTTTTCATACTATTTCGTACACGGAAAACGCCTTCGTTTGCAAACAGGAACAAAGTTTCAATGCCATATCACCGCGATCGAAATTAAGCTGTCGAGTATGCGGGAATCATGAAGTGGCGAAATTAGCTCACGACTTTCGCCAGGGAGCAAACTTGATTCAATCAGCGTACAAAATCGCCTTGTGTTTCACCAGCCACTAACGTTGCCTTAGCTCCCAAGTAATATCATCAATAAAGAAATGGAAGTAAATTGAAGTAAAATTATTCGCCTCCAAACAAATTGACTATCCGAGTTATACCATATCGCTTTAATATGGAATCAGAGGTTCAGCCAATAGTTTCCTTAAAAAAAAGCTTACGTTAGCTTGCTTGCTTGAAGGACGTAGAAGTTCATAAGAACGAACGTTTCGGATGCCATGATTGCCGGAAAGCGCTGCAAAAGTTTGGTATTTAAAGACGGACTGGGAGAGTATTTCTTGTAGGTTTTGAATTTAACTTCGCACTTAAATTTGGCGATAAAGTAAAGCAGTGAGTCGAGTGGATTGCTTTGTACGTTTAAAATAAAAAGGATTAGCTGCTTGGAAAATTAACTGC